ATAAGTGATGCTGAGCAGTAGAGAAACATCCTTGGTATTTCTGGCTGTGGTCTAGATTTGTTCTTCCAAAATATCTGTTATAGGGGCTGGGAAGGTGGCTCAGTGGTAGAGCAATTGCCTTGCATGCTCGAGGCCCTGGGTTCGATTCCTCAGCGCCACATAAGCAAAAAGAAAAAAGCCGGAAGTGGCGCTGTGGCTCAAGTAGTAGAGCGCTAGCCTTGAGCTGAAGAGCTGAGGGACAACACCCAGGCCCAGAGTTCAGGCCCCACGACCGGACCCCCCCAAAAAATATATCTATTATAAGAGCCCTATAATCCCAGCTACTTCAGAGATAAGAGATTGGGAAGATCCTGGTTCAAGAACAGCCATAAGGGAAAAGTTAGTGAGACCCTCCTCTCAACAAATAAACTGGGTGTGGTGGTTCATATCTATGATCTCAGCTATGTGGGGAACACAAATACGTGAAATGTGGTCCAAGGCTAGCCCCATGCCAAAACACAAGGCCTTACCTAAAAAACAAACAACGAAAACAACAGCTGAAATGGGGCACTGGTGGCTCATGCCTGTAATCCTAGTTACCCAGGAGGCTGATGTCTGAGGATCAATATTCAAAGCTAGTCCAGGCAGGAAAATCCATGTGACTCTTTTCTCCAATTCATCACCAGAAAACTGAAAGTGGTAGAATACTAGCTTTGAGCAAAAAAAGCTGAGAGACAGTGCCCAGGCCCCTGAGTTCAAGCCCCATGACCAAAAAAAAGGGCTAGAGTGTGGCTCAAATGATGAGTACTTACCTAGCAAGTGCATAGCCCTGAGTTCAAACCCCACAATGTTCACACACTCACACACACACACACACACACACACACACACACACACACACACACACACACACACTTTGTTATAAAACTCTTATAACTCACAAAAGTCAACAAGTGTCCACTGAGCCTCTACTCCGCACTCTCGCACACCGCCCCTAACACGATCCAGTTTTGATGGGAGTACTATTCATCCAGCACTCCCCCTGAATCACAAACTTCATGAATAACCTTTGCCGGCAACCCTATAGCTTCCGAATTCGTATGGTCCTTAGTTTACCAAGGAGAAAGTGAAAGCTAGAGATTCAGAAGCTGTTCAAGATCACACATCTAAGTAACTGAGCTGGGATTCAAAGCGGATCAGAATGTTTGGACAGTGTCAAAGACCTCAGTAGGAACTTGCCCACCTGCAGGAACAGTTTTCCACAGCTCTACCTTTTCATGGAACCTTAGCGCTAACAGGTGCAATCAACCTAGTGGTGCTTCCCTAATTGAGCAAGCATCTTGCCGTACCAATTCTAGGTAAACACATCTGCAGAAACACCACATTCACATCCACGTGGTTGCGGGGTTTGGCAATGCACTGGCTGGCTCTCTCGGAAGCAGAGTGGGAGTTTCTGCAGCCCCATGCTACTTTTCCCATGGGAACCAGAGCCAGCCTCAGCATGAAGACTTCCTAGTCAGACACCACACAGGACACACGCTTGACTGAGAGGGGCGGGCAGTGGGGGGGGGGGGGCATGACCCTTGACCTGCACTTGGAGGTCGATGAATCAAAGGCAAACTCTCATAGGTGTTCTCTAAACTGAGATGTGATGGAAAACAAAGTCACCATTTGTCTATTGCTAGAGAGGCCCAAAACGCCATTCCCCGTTGTTTATCTCTTCCCCGTCAGTAACATAAGGTGAATGACAGGACTTCCAATGCTCACTGTGAGCCTGTGTATTCCAAACCAAGCCCAAAGATGAAGTCTACTGTGAGTCTATGGATATCGTATTATTTTATATTCGAACGTCTTCTAGATGTATTTTAAGTTCTTAGTTGATATTCAGATCCTTTATGAGGGAATAAAAAAAAAGTTAGGGTGTTTATTAGATACTGCCTTGCTCAAAAACTAGATTTTATTGTTTTTTTTATACCCAATCATAGTCTTTGTTGGTTATTTTTTGCTTTGATTTTTGTTTTTGCCAGTACTGGGGCTTGAAACTCAGGACCTGGGCACTGTCCCTGAGGTTCTTTTGCTCAAGGTTAGCACTCTACCTCTTGAACACAGCACCACTTCCAGCTTTTTCTGTTTATGTGGTATTGGGGAATTGAACACAGGGCTTCATACATGCTCAGCAAGCACTTTACCACTAAGCCATGTTTCCAGCCCTATTCTTTGTTTTTTTGAGAAAGCTTTTAACATATCTTTTTACTTATATAAAACCCAGTAAAAGGTAAACACACACCTTTGGTTCAAACCACATAGCTTTCTGAAATTAGGAAAATCAACTTGTGGGAAAGTCTCATAGTCACAGACGAGTAACACAATTACAGCTTTATAATGTTTGTTTTATATGTTTGCTTGGGCTGTAATGAATTCATATTAAGATATCAGGGCTAGGTGTGATTTATCTGAAATACTGGTAAGAGTACATCCTATTTAGCAGTATGATGCTAAACAGATGTTAGCTTTAATTCATGAAGCTGTCAATAGCATTCATGCAAAAAAAAAACATTTATTAAATTTGGGCACTTGGCATGATTCATATTGGAAGAAGAATGTCTAAAGAGACATGAAACCTGTAACTGAGAAAAAAATCCTACAAGAAAGGAAAAGTATTGGAGCTATGAGCCACTTTTATATGCAATAGGATAATGTAAGGTTGATTGTCCAAGTGAGACCCGAAGGGTAATAGAACCTCTGCGCATGTGCTACATGTTAGTGTTGGTTATGAAACTAACTTTGAAATTTCTAAGTAGGTAGATAATGGCCCAAGGCTGGCCCAGAGCAAAAGCACAAGATTCAATCTGGAAAAAAAAAAAACTAAAACTAAAAAGCATTTCAAGGCATTACTATTCACAGGGACCATTACCATTTTTGTTGTGGTTGCTCTGGTACAGGGCTTGAACTTAGGGCCTTGTGCTCTTACTTAACTTTTTCACTTAAGAATAGTGCTCTAGGGGCTGGGGAGGTGGCTCAGTGGTAGAGCGCTTGCCTTGCATGCCTGAGGCCCTGGGTTCGATTCCCCAGCACCACATAAGCGAAAAAGAAAAAAGCCGGAAGTGGCGCTGTGGCTCAAGTGGTAGAGCGCTAGCCTTGAGCTAAAAGAGCTGAGGGACAGCGCCCAGGCCCAGAGTTCAGGCCCCACGACCCGACCAAAAAAAAAAAAAAAGAATAGTGCTCTACCATGTGAGCCACTCCTCCAACTTCTGATTTTGTTTTTGTTGGTTAACTGAAAATAAGCTTCTCACAGATCTGTCTTCCTGGGCTGGCTTCAAATAGAGACCCGTAGATCTCAGCCTCCCAAGTAGCTAGGATTATAAGTATAAGCCATCGACACCCATTTCCCCAAACTGAAAACACTCTCTGGCATTCCATAAACCCAAGTTCTTGACTATTTTCCTTGACATACGATATCTTTGGGTGGCTGGTTAGTGAAGACACATGCCAAGACGCTGCTAATGTCACTGGTTAGGACCAGGTAGGAGAAATCCCACAGTGCTTTCTGCAATCTGGAAAAGTTGGCAGGAGCAGCGTAACAAATAGACTCCTCAAGCACCACTGGTTTCTGAAAGCCTAACATTCGTTCTGTAACTGTGGCAGATTTATGGGAAGTCTGACCTTTAGGGACTAGATAAATGAACAAACCAACTCAGGGACATCTTCCACGTTAAAGGCTTCACCACCGTGCTAGGAAAACAACGTGGTCCTAAGAAATAATGTGGGCATGTAGATGAAAGCTGGTGCTGAAAGCAGGCAAGCTATCCCGCTAACCAGGCTAGACACAGCAAATGCTCAGTCAGTTACTCCTAACAGTCCTTACACATTCCTTCATCCTCTGCCAACACACGTCGGGCTTGCCACGAGGCCACCATGTGCCTGGAGAAGGCAGTCCTTTGTGTCTCAGAAGTGACTAAGGCACCAAGTAGACGGATTTCAATGCATGGGAAGATGCAGCCGCACCTGATGATACTGATGAAGCTTTTAGCCCACCAGCCCTACAAGTTACACCTGACCCTTTGAGGATGCGGAGGAAAGATTCAACCGCGAGCATCCATTGGCTACCGCGTCATGAATATTCAAATTGTCCCTTCAAACCATTTCTAGAGAGCAGTGTCACCTAGGTCCTACCCAGTAAGTCACATCCTGGTAGTGTGAAACCTTGATTCTCCAGACACAACCAGACAACCGAGTGCAGCCGTGGTGCTATTTGCTTGCAGGAGCCCTTGAAAACTCTGACAACCAATCAACGTTTGGGGGTGAGAGGAGCGTGCCCCGTCCACCCGGAGACTGGCACTGAAACAAGCCGAGAATCTGGACGGATAGCAACCGCCCTAGGAGCGTTTGAACAATGGGTCTCCTGACCCTGTACCTCGCTTAGTTACAATAAGCACCCCGATGACCGAGTTTACAGCACCTAGATACACGCGTGATCTGTATTTTTTTTTCCAGGAAGATCATGCTTCTTCTGGAATGTCCACAAATCTCTAGGGTCGTTTTTATTCAACCCAACCACATCATCCGGCCACAAGCCTCCCCCAAGCCTTGATACATTCTGTCCTAACCCAAGGTCGAAAGACAAACAAGTGCCAAGTATTTCCTTGTTGACATTGTCCAACACAAAACTCAAGTGCAAAGGCAAGCATCCATCTTCTCCGGGGACGCGCTGTTTACAACGACCGTCCAACCCCCGCTGCCCTCCCGCCTCCCCACTCCCCACGCAGGCGCGACCGGGAGCGGGGCACGGCCGCCGCCCGTGTGGGCTCGGCAATCGCGGGTGCTCGGCGTGGCTCGGGGTCCACAGACACACGGGGGTGGACCCCGGCCTTTCCCGGGATCACTTGCGGGGTCCCCAAGCGCGTGCGCCCCTCCGATCCTTTCCTGCGCGTCCTCTCCACCTACCCGGGTGCGCCGGGTCCCACCCCGCCGGGTCCGACCCTGCAGTCCCCCCCCTACCCCACCCCAAGCCGCGGGCTCACCTGAAGCACGTGGTCAGCTCCCCCGAAGACTTCAGACACGGGTACTTGGTGGTGGCGATCTTGTTTTCGGAGCAGATTTCCCTAGGAGGAAAAAGTCGCAGCGGGACGCGGTGGGCGGGAGGTGTGAGCGCCGGGATCTCCGCACGGATCCCGGACACTTCCGAGCCTCGGGTTCGGAGGCTCAAAGCCAGAACGATCCAGAGGGGGGGAAAGGCTGAGGAAGCCGGGCGCAGGGGCGCGACTGCACCAGAGCACCGAGGGCAGCACCGCCCCATACCCACCGGGACGACCCGGTCAGTGGCTGGGGGACCCGGGCGGGGGGGGGGGGGGGGAGGTGGCGCGCAGATCGCGGCGGGGCGCAGATCGCGGCGGGGCGCAGATCGCGGCGGGGCGCAGATCGCGGCGGAAGACCTCCACCCCCCGCCCCCCGCGCCCCCCGCGCGCCCCGATCCGCGGCCGCTAAGCCCTTACCTGTCGCCGTCCTCTGGCTCCTCTCGGTAGGTCCACGTGTGTCCGAGCGCCAGGAGCAGCAGCAGCGGACCCAGACTCCGGCCCAGCTGCCCCCCGGCCGCTCCTCCCCGGCTCGGCGGCGGCGGCGGCGACACCACCATCGGGGAAGCTCCCGGCTTCTCCGCCCGGCGCCGAGCTTCGCTGCCCGCCCTGCGCGCGGCTCCTCGGCGGCGGCGGCCGTGCGTGCGCCTCCCCGGCAGGGGGCGCCCGAGCGCAGGGCGTCCGCGCCACCTGCGCGTGGGGTGGGGTGGGGTGGGGTGGGGTGGGGTGGCGTGGGGGGTTCGGGGTCTGCGGGCGCGGCGCCCCCGAGTGGGGTCCGGTGAGGGTCCGATCGGCGGCGCGGGAGCTGGCGCGGCGATCCCGGGGCCCGCGCGCCGTCTGGTGTGCGCGCCGCCCGGGCTTCGTACTTTGCACCCGCGCCTTGCACGCCGGAGGAGGAGCCGCCCGCTCCTCACCCGAGGCCGGGGGAGGAGAGGAGCGGAGGTCAGTTGGTTTCCAGGGCTCAGGGTCCAGCCTGTGTTTCGCCCCTGAGGATCTAGGCCGTGCTGTTTGCCGCTCTCCGGCTTTGCTTCTTGCTTGGGAGCAGGCGGGGCATGGACCGGCCTCGCAGGGGCCTCCCACCCCGGCCACACCTGAGGTCACTGTTGAGGAAACGTCATCGGTCCATTTCGTCCACTCATCACCTGGAATCCTAGCCACTCGGGAGGCTGAGACCTAAGGATCGAAATTTAAAACCAGCCAGGCAGGAAAAAAAAAATCCCTGAGATTCTTTACGTCCAACTAGCCCGCCGAAAGTCAGAAGTGGAGGTGTGGTTCAAGGTGTGGAGAGCCAGCTCTGAGCAAAACAGGCCAAGAAAAGAATGTGAGGCCTTGAGTTCGAGCCTCAGTACTGGCACTGGATAATACATAAATAATAACTATCTCTGAAAAGATCGTCTTCTAGGTGTTTTCGTTTGTTCATGGATTGTGCTGTGGTTTTCTTCACGTTCAGGACAAGCCAGGCCCTCCCACTGGGTGGTGCTGGAAATCTGGAATCGTCCTGCCCTGAGCTTACCTGGGGCAGGTAGGAGGCGGTGTGAATCACAGGTCCTGCTGACATGTTTATGGGTAACCCTCAAAAATGGGAAACTCATGTCTAATCCATGCAATTTCGTGATGGTAATCCATGTCACTTAGTGTCTTAGCATTTGCACGATCCTTGTCCGTGCTTGTCAAAGAAAAGTTTGTGAGAGACGTGGATGATAGAGCCAAGCAAGGGATCCTTGATCCAGAAGTAAATCGGGAAAGAGGTTTCATGCTGGATAAATCTTTAACATCTGTGTGTTCCATAGCTCAGGCCAGCAAGCGAGAACATAGCTAGATCACTCACCTGTCCAGGTGTACCCATGGCTAGGGAAGGAGACAGTCTGAGTTGCACAATGTTCTGGTCTGCACTAAGCTAACATGCACATCCCTCACACACTGATATCTCCCCATTCTTCTGTAGCATGCTTTATATTTTTCAGAGCTCTTTCCCATTCATTATGCTAACCTAAGGATCTCATTTGTTCAAGGATGTGGGCTTTTTTCCCTACACAATTACATAGTGATGGAAGACTTATTGCTATTAAAACAGGACACTGCTAGTTCACAAAAACAAGTTAAGTTTCAATTCAGAACCCACCCCCAGAATCTTGTGCAACCAGAAGGAGAGAATCATGGAGCCAGTAAACACCTGGGACTCAAATCCTGGCAGTGGTTTCCTGAGCAGTTAACTTCTCTGAAACCCTGTTTTCTTATCTGTAAAATTGAGAGCTTTCCCTCATAAATATCTGTACGTGTTAAAATGAAATAATGCGTATAAAGCACATTTGTACAGTGCCTGGCACATAGGGAGTTCTCAGTAAACATTAACTCATTATTGTTAGTATAAATTATTGAATTGCACAGAAATTTAGGTTTTAGACTTCTAATGTTTTTTGCCTAACACATAGACTAAAAAGCAATCTCACCGAGCACATAAAAACTAAACCCAGCGCTGGGAAGGTGGCTCAGTGGTAGAGCCCTTGCCTTGCATGCATGAGGCCCTGGGTTCGATTCCCCAGCACCACATAAGCAAAAAGAAAAAAAAGCCGGAAGTGGTAGAGTGCTAGCCTTGAGCTGAAGAGCTGAGGGACAGTGCCCAGGCCCAGAGTTCAAGCCCCAAGACCGGACCCAAAAAAAAAAAAAAAAAAACTAAACCAATCCTGGAACGAGTAAAAATCAAATCACTTTAAATTGTGCCATAGAAGTGTTTGATCCCATCACAGAAGGAAGATGTCAACATGCAGGCTGGAGTTTCGATCTTTATTTCCTAACTCCTCTTATGTTGATAACTTTGCTTTTCCTGCCATTGCCTGTGGATGATAGTTGTACAAACAATAGATTGCATTATAGAGATGAAATGCTGGCTTCATTAAACTATACGAAGACTTGTGTGTAGACCTGCAGCTTTTCAAGGAAAGTAATTCATATTGCGACATGATAAAAGCAGCCAGGTGTGGTGGTGCATGCCTGTAATCCCAGCACTTAAGAGGCTGGGGTAGGAGGTTAGAGAGATTGAGGCCACCTTAGACTACATAGCAAGGTTTTGTATTTTAAAAATAACAAAAGAATAAAAACACAACCGTGTCCATTATAGACAATAGTGGTATCAGAGCCTGCCTAGTCACCTGGTTAGTTCTGGTCATTTAGTGTGTGTGTGTGTGTGTGTGTGTGTGTGTGTGTGTGTGTGTGTGTGTGTGCACTTGCCAGTCCTGGGACTTGAACTCGGGACCTGGATTGTCCCTGAGCTTTTTTAGCTCAAGGCTAGTGCTCTACCACTTCAGTTACAGCTCCACTTCTGGCTTTTTTAGTAGTTCATCAGAGATAAAGTCTCACAGACTTTCCTGCCTGGGCTGATTCCAAACCACGATCCTTAGATCTCAGCCTTCTGAGTAGCTGGGATTATAGGCATGAGCCACCAGCACCCGCAGTTCTAGTCCTTCATGTGAGGCACCTTTGAGGAGGAGGGGCTAGAGAAGGTGGCTGGCTGGTTAAGCCAATAGTGAAGATTACATGGATCAGAATCTTGTGAGTGTGTGGTCAGAGCATTTCCATGACAGGTAGGCCTTTTGGAAAACCTTTGTCTACAGGCCTGGAATTTCAACCCAGGGGCAGCTACTAAGAACAGATACTTGGTGTTGAGCTTGAGGCACTAGCTGGGAGAACATAGCCAACTGGAAGAGGCTGTGTGTATGGATATCTGTCCCTGGAAAATTAAACAGTCCTGCAATAGACAGCCAAGCTTTTGCTCAGGCTGCAACCAACCTGCACGGGAAAGGCCAGTGCAGAGTCTGCATGAAGAAGGAACCTCAGGCCTCTTACTTTTTCTCTCTTTTGACTCATACTTTCTCGCCAACCCTGCACAACCTGGCTTGGCCACCTTGATGTCCCTATCTAACCCGTCATCTGTGATTAGCTGGCATGAGAGAACTTGTCCCTTGCCTCTTTCCTAGGAGTGTTGCAAAGATTAATGACAGGGACCTAAATGCTCCTTGGGGGAGACAGTGTGGCTGTTTCTTTGCAGCATACCCCTTGGCCACATTTTCCATACAGACGTGTCACTGCCCTGAAACAAACCAGAGAGAGTGGATCATTATGCTTACTGTGTCCCAGGGGTTGGGGGGCTGGGCTGGGGTCTGAGCTGTAGGGCAGATTGCTGTGGAGCAGGTATTTGCTAAATAGGCTGAGTGTTGTCTGGGAGCAGGAAAGATGGCTGGCTGGGGGAAAAAGGATGGGTCAATATTCAGTCAAAAAGGAAAAGGAGAAAATAGGCTACAGGACATAACATAACACTCTAAACAAAGCCAACGTGGTTTTAAGCAACTCTACTATCTTATTTGGAGAAATCATTGTAGAATTAGAAAAGAGAAAAGGGTTGAAAAATAAGTTATGCTCACCCACCACTGGCAGCTCAATTTCTGTTATTCTAGCTGCTCAGGAGGTTGAGATCTGAGGATTGTGGTTCAAAGCCAGCCCAGGCAGGAAAATCCTTAAGACGAGTATCTGTACAAGTGAAGCTCAAGTGCTAGAGTAGTGCCTTGAGCACAAAAGCTTAGGGAAGCACCCAGGACCTGAGTTCAAGCCCCAGGACCAGCACAAACAAAAAAGTTACGACAAAAACAGATCACCGCTAATTATTCACGATTAGTAATCATCATAAAACTTTAAATTTACACTCATCAGACTTGTTAGGCTGGTAGCTCACGCCTGTGATCTTAGTTACTCAGGAAGCTGAGATTGAGGAGCAAAGCTTAATAACAGCCTGGTCAGGAAAGTCCACAAGACTCTTATCTCCAATTAACCAGCAAAAAAGCCAGAAGCAGAGCTGTAACTGAAGTGACAGAACATCATCCTTTGAGCAAAAAATTTAAGGGACAATGCCTATCCCTGAGTTCAAGACCAGTACTGACACCTCCCCCCCCAAAAAAAAAAAAATAGAAGGAGGAAGAGGAGGTGGAGGAGGATGAGGAGGAGTCTTTTCAGGACTCTTCTATGTAGTGTGGAGTAAAGGAAAATTCAGAATCAAATAGTAAGCTGATGGAATATTAATTGGCTGAACTACATAAGCAGAAAGTCTGTACTACATTTAAAGCAGATCACAAATCACATCTCAGATCTTTGTAATGCAATGTAGGATCATTATGTGGTAAGTTACAAGAGTCCAGGTAACCCTAAAGGAAAGGCCTATCAATTGTTTTTTGTTTTTTTTGACAGATTTTCCCCCACTGGTCTTGCTGAAATGTAGCAACTGGTACCTGACTATAAGTTGAGGGCTTCTTCATAGAAATAAAGCTAAAGGATATGAGTAAAATTGGGATGAGTGATCAACTTCAGATAAGCTATCCCTAAAATAAGCTTTCCTTCAGTTTCGGTTTTGATTGACAAGCAGCCAGGTCTGCTCAGAGAATTAAGGTACAGTCTTAAAACTGTTGAAGCGCGCCTGTGTCTAAGCCCTAATGAGGGATTGCTCAAGGCAAGTAGTCAAAGTGTCCTTAATGCAGTGAGTGAGTTTTAAAGCCCTGGTGGTTTTGGGGCGTGTACTCTATCTCTACACTAAACCAGCCTAAGTTGTAACATGCACAGGTTCTGAAAGTTCATTGAGCCCACGTGT